AGGGGGTGAGCGGGAGGGGGTGAGCGGGAGGGGGTGAGCGGGAGCGGGTGGGGGTGAGCGGGAGGGGGTGAGCGGGAGGGGGTGAGCGGGAGCGGGTGGGGGTGAGCGGGAGGGGGTGAGCGGGAGGGGGTGAGCGGGAGCGGCTGGGGGTGAGCGGGAGGGGGTGAGCGGGTGAGCGGGAGGGGGTGAGCGGGAGGGGGTGAGCGGGAGCGGGTAGGGGTGAGCGGGAGGGGGTGAGCGGGAGGGGGTGAGCGGGAGGGGGTGAGCGGGAGGGGGTGAGCGGGAGCGGGTGGGGGTGAGCGGGAGGGGGTGAGCGGGTGAGCGGTAGGGGGTGAGCGGGAGGGGGGTGAGCGGGAGGGGGTGAGCGGGAGCGGGTGGGGGTGAGCGGGAGGGGGTGAGCGGGAGGGGGTGAGCGGGAGGGGGGTGAGCGGGAGGGGGTGAGCGGGAGCGGGTGGGGGTGAGCGGGGAGGGGGTGAGCGGGTGAGCGGGAGGGGGTGAGCGGGAGGGGGTGAGCGGGAGGGGGTGAGCGGGAGGGGGTGAGCGGGTGGGGGTGAGCGGGAGGGGGTGAGCGGGTGGGGGTGAGCGGGAGCGGGTGGGGGTGAGCGGGAGGGGGTGAGCGGGTGAGCGGGAGGGGGTGAGCGGGAGGGGGTGAGCGGGAGGGGGTGAGCGGGAGCGGGTGGGGGTGAGCGGGAGGGGGTGAGCGGGAGGGGGTGAGCGGGAGGGGGTGAGCGGGAGGGGGTGAGCGGGAGGGGGTGAGCGGGAGGGGGTGAGCGGGAGCGGGGTGGGGGTGAGCGGGAGGGGGTGAGCGGGAGGGGGTGAGCGGGAGGGGGTGAGCGGGAGCGGGTGGGGGTGAGCGGGTGAGCGGGTGAGCGGGAGGGGGTGAGCGGGAGGGGGTGAGCGGGAGGGGGTGAGCGGGTGGGGGTGAGCGGGAGGGGGTGAGCGGGAGGGGGTGAGCGGGAGGGGGTGAGCGGGAGGGGGTGAGCGGGAGCGGGTGGGGGTGAGCGGGAGGGGGTGAGCGGGAGGGGGTGAGCGGGAGGGGGTGAGCGGGTGGGGGTGAGCGGGAGGGGGTGAGCGGGTGGGGGTGAGCGGGAGCGGGTGGGGGTGAGCGGGAGGGGGTGAGCGGAGTGAGCGGGAGGGGGTGAGCGGGAGGGGGTGAGCGGGAGCGGGTAGGGGTGAGCGGGAGGGGGTGAGCGGGAGGGGGTGAGCGGGAGGGGGTGAGCGGGAGCGGGTGGGGGTGAGCGGGAGGGGGTGAGCGGGAGGGGGTGAGCGGGAGCGGGTGGGGGTGAGCGGGAGGGGGTGAGCGGGAGGGGGTGAGCGGGAGGGGGTGAGCGGGAGGGGGTGAGCGGGAGCGGGTGGGGGTGAGCGGGAGGGGGTGAGCGGGTGAGCGGGAGGGGGTGAGCGGGAGGGGGTGAGCGGGAGCGGGTGGGGGGTGAGCGGGAGGGGGGTGAGCGGGAGCGGGTGGGGGTGAGCGGGAGGGGGTGAGCGGGAGGGGGTGAGCGGGAGGGGGTGAGCGGGAGCGGGTGGGGGTGAGCGGGAGGGGGTGAGCGGGAGGGGGTGAGCGGGAGGGGTGAGCGGGAGGGGGTGAGCGGGAGGGGGTGAGCGGGTGGGGGTGAGCGGGAGGGGGTGAGCGGGTGGGGGTGAGCGGGAGCGGGTGGGGGTGAGCGGGAGGGGGTGAGCGGGTGAGCGGGAGGGGGTGAGCGGGAGGGGGTGAGCGGGAGGGGGTGAGCGGGAGCGGGTGGGGGTGAGCGGGAGGGGGTGAGCGGGAGGGGGTGAGCGGGAGGGGGTGAGCGGGAGGGGGTGAGCGGGAGCGGGTGGGGGTGAGCGGGAGGGGGTGAGCGGGAGGGGGTGAGCGGGAGGGGGTGAGCGGGAGCGGGTGGGGGTGAGCGGGAGGGGGTGAGCGGGTGAGCGGGAGGGGGTGAGCGGGAGCGGGTGGGGGTGAGCGGGAGGGGGTGAGCGGGAGGGGGTGAGCGGGAGGGGGTGAGCGGGAGGGGGTGAGCGGGAGCGGGTGGGGGTGAGCGGGAGGGGGTGAGCGGGTGAGCGGGAGGGGGTGAGCGGGAGGGGGTGAGCGGGAGGGGGTGAGCGGGTGGGGGTGAGCGGGAGGGGGTGAGCGGGTGGGGGTGAGCGGGAGCGGGTGGGGGTGAGCGGGAGGGGGTGAGCGGGTGAGCGGGAGGGGGTGAGCGGGAGGGGGTGAGCGGGAGGGGGTGAGCGGAAGGGGGTGAGCGGGAGGGGGTGAGCGGGTGGGGGTGAGCGGGAGGGGGTGAGCGGGTGGGGGTGAGCGGGAGGGGGTGAGCGGGAGCGGGTGGGGGTGAGCGGGAGGGGGTGAGCGGGAGGGGGTGAGCGGGTGGGGGTGAGCGGGAGGGGGTGAGCGGGTGGGGGTGAGCGGGAGGGGGTGAGCGGGAGCGGGTGGGGGTGAGCGGGAGGGGGGTGAGCGGGAGGGGGTGAGCGGGTGGGGGTGAGCGGGAGGGGGTGAGCGGGAGGGGGTGAGCGGGAGGGGGTGAGCGGGTGGGGGTGAGCGGGAGGGGGTGAGCGGGAGCGGGTGGGGGTGAGCGGGAGGGGGTGAGCGGGTGGGGGTGAGCGGGAGGGGGTGAGCGGGAGGGGGTGAGCGGGAGGGGGTGAGCGGGTGGGGGTGAGCGGGAGGGGGTGAGCGGGAGCGGGTGGGGGTGAGCGGGAGGGGGTGAGCGGGAGGGGGTGAGCGGGTGGGGGTGAGCGGGAGGGGGTGAGCGGGTGGGGGTGAGCGGGAGGGGGTGAGCGGGAGCGGGAGGGGGTGAGCGGGAGGGGGTGAGCGGGAGGGGGTGAGCGGGAGCGGGTGGGGGTGAGTGGGTGAGCGGGTGAGCGGGAGGGGGTGAGTGGGAGGGGGTGAGCGGGCGGGGGTGAGCGGGAGGGGGTGAGCGGGAGGGGGTGAGGGGGTGAGCGGGAGGGGGTGAGCGGGAGGGGGTGAGTGGGAGGGGGTGAGGGGGTGAGCGGGAGGAGGTGAGCGGGAGGGGGTGAGTGGGAGGGGGGTGAGTGGGAGGGGGTGAGCGGGAGGGGGTGAGCGGGAGGGGGTGAGCGGGAGGGGGTGAGCGGGAGCGGGTGAGTGGGTGAGCGGGTCAGCGGGAGGGGGTGAGCGGGAGGGGGTGAGTGGGAGGGGGCGAGCGGGAGGAGGTGAGCGGGAGCGTGGTTGACGCTTGGATAATATAATAGTAGTCGAAGCTTATCCAACAGAGTACTGGTACCACCGAGTCTCAAGACTCCTTTAAGGAGGATGCTGCCACATCGGGTGTGGCCGACACTTTTGAATGGGTGTTTTTGACTTCATGTCAGAATAAACCGGAGAAAGGGTTACACTCAGTGCCACGATCTTCGGGACACACCTACACACCTGGCAAGCCTTGATGGTGCTCTATCCAAGTAGTAACCAGAATGGGAGACTGCCTGGGACTGCCAGATGTTATAGGCTTGAGCTGCAGGATGGCCTAAAGATTTCAGTACTGCAATGGATTATTTAATCCATCTGTGCAACGCTATCATTGTTACTCCTACGAATGCGTGGGTATTGTCCAGGTTATCACTTTCAAAACAAAAACAGCAACAACAACTATACACCCCCCCCCCCCCCCCCCAAGGTAGCGCAGTGGTCAGTGCATTGTGCTCCGAACTTTGTGAGCTGAGTTTGATTCCCTGCCACGGCTTGCATGAGTGGCGAGGGATATCCCAACCCAGTCCTGCACCCCCCCTCGCCCTCTTCCCGTCCACCAACTTCACCAAGGCGTACTGACCCAGCATGGCGAAATGCTTCACCGCATAACCCCTCTGACCGACGCGACATGGCGGGAAAGGGGCTTCGTCCAGCAGTGGATTTACATGCGTTCATTGTACGTTTTGCCATCCTCCGGTGCCGCGTACTGATAATGATAACGAGTTAAACATCTGTGGGCTATTGACGGACTTCTTTGAGATGAACGCGACTGAATCGCCGGCGAGTCGTGCGGTTCCCCGAGCAACGATCAGCTGCTTGGGCGTCCCGGGGGGACTCGTGATGAGATAAGGAAGTGGCAGGGAGAGGAGGCGAGATCGAGTCCCCATCCACGTGGGGGGGGGGGGGGGGGTACGTGCAGGACGTAGGTGCTCTCAACGTAAGGGTACGGGACTCGCGAACAAGGCTGGCAAACGAAGACCCTGAGCGCCACAAGTGAACGCAAATATCCCCGCATCACCGCCCAGTATAACCATTGACTACTGCTCGTAGTGGGGGGGGGGGGGGTATGTGCTGCTGGCGAGCTCCTATTAATACCGGAACGAAGCCCCGTGGAGCTGCATAGGGAACAGCGCGCATCGCCGCCACAGTCTCCCCGGCGCCGATGTTTTCCACGCCGCAAACCCGCTGCTTGTTTAAGGCGCAGTCGACTTAGGGGCAGGTTTGTCAAGATACCACGCGCGACGGATGTTCTCCGTTGATGGGGACTCGAGCTCAGGCTGGCTAAGTTCGCAGTGCAGTGCGCTCGCCACTATGCCACCGCTCCCAAGATACGCATACACACCAGTCTCGCGCAGAGCACGATATTCATTGTCTCCCGACTGCAACCACCGATAACATGAGGTTTGACACCACGCCAAATACGTTCGACACTTCGCGCGAGGCCACGTTGAAGTGTCGAAGGTTCGCTGACAGGAGGGTCACGGGACAGAGCCAGGTGTCATAGGTTGACTAACCAAAAGGACACAGATGCATCACCTGCTCTCCCCCCTGTGCCGACCGTCCCCATCACCACAATAATCACCGTCATGAAGTCACCTGCCCGATGAGTAAAGCCACCGTAGCCCGCGCTCCTTCAACGGAGGAGGATGAATCGCAAAACGACACGAACTCTCCATCGGCCGAAGACCTCTCTTGACCTGCAGACCTCCGCATTGGCGCTCCCCTCCTGAACGCACCGCTGCTGCCAGCACACGCGCGGGCACCGAATGATCGCTCCCTCCCGATGCCGCCCACCGCTCGCTGCGCTCTGGGGCGCCACACTCACATTTGAGGGCCGAGAAGGCGAGCGCGTAGCTCCGGCGTCGCGCTCCCGAATCCCCGTGGAGCAGAGCCAGGCCCGGCTCCCCGAGCCGCCTCTCGCCGCCGTACTGCAGCACGGCCCGGTCCGCGGGGCTGTCCGCTCTCAGGTGGCCAAACAGCGCCGCGGCGGCCGCGAATTCGCGCTCGGATCCTCCCGCGCGGTGTCCCAGCGCCTCCGTCTCCTCCTCCTGCCCCGAAGCTTCGCGCGTCGCTACTGCTCTACCTGGCCGTGCCATCGCCATGTGGAGGGGGGGGGGGGTCCCTGCTGGCTCCAGGCGTAATTAAGGAAGGGTGCTCTTAGGTAGTGGTGGTGGTGGCCTCTGCTTCCTACTCCTCCCCCCGTGGAGGAGACGCAGGGAGGTTAGAAACGGCGGCGTGCGTGCGTCCCGGCCACGCACCCCCCCTCTCGTGCTCTCGTGCCCTCCTTAACAATAAGAGCTCGTTCACGGCACTTTCCCCAACAGCCCTGTGTTCGGCTACACTATGTGGTGGTTGCTAGCAATTGGGGAGGTGATCTTTGCGTGCGTGCGCAAAAGAGTGCGCCGTGTACTCGAGAGGGGCCTCCTGATGGGTGGGTGGCTGGGTGGATGGTGGGTGCTGAGTGAGCGTGGTGGGGTGGGTGGCTCTCTGTGTCTTCATAAGGCTCGCCTCTTGCGGCTACCGCCGCTTGCGTAACCGCGCCTGGAGACCCAATCGTAGCCCTCCGCGAACCTCCTCCAACAACAACGAAAGACATCGACCCACCGCCTCTCATTGCTTCATTGTGAGTGGCGCGCGAGAAGAGGTGTGGGGGGGGAGGGAGCCGGGGTCATCAGAGCAGCAGCCAACGTGCCCACGTGTTTCAAGCGCACTGTGGAGCAACGTTAGCAGTGGAGAGAGCGTGGCGAGTGATTACTTCGGCAACCCGCGCTGACCAGCACGGCGAAATGTGGCCGAATAACCCGAACCAACATCCCTTGGGGAGACCATCTAGCAGATGCATTGCAAACAATATTTAATATTTGTTTTCTGAAAAGACATTATTGAATAAAGATGTACCAAATCTTGACTTAAAGCTTTCGTGACTGCAGGAATTCATATTATTTGGATCTTTCGGTAAAGCCACGTAGATATCTATAAGAATAAAAAGACGTACTATAGGTTTAGTTTCGTAAGTGCTGGTGGCAAGTTCATAACTACCGTAGTTGTAATTCCCACCTGTTCGCTGTGAGTGTGTGCGTGTGGTGATGTTTCCTAGCTTATATTTACATCGCTTCAGCCAAATATTCCCTGGCATGAGTTCGCCTTATCTCCAGTTACCAGGCTCCCAATTCATGTGTTTTTATCTGTAAGATTAAGCGCCGTTTATTCCAATAAAAGCTGCTTGGAAAATCAATGACGGATGCAAAAAAGCGAACAGGATGAACCCGTACTGCCGTTAATACGCTTCTAATTAATCCTTTTAGAACGCAGCGGATGCGTTAAGTGGGATGAGGCTACACTTGACGGATTCCAAATCAGTTACAATCACCGTGCTGCTGCTGCTTTAAAAACCGAGGTGTAAATCACAGCACACGACACCAGCCAGTAACCTTCTGATCCTGTGGCCCTACTAGCCATCTGTGCAAAAAGAGCTTCATAGCTCTTCGGATTCCGCCAGTATAAATACATGTTCTGATTTACTATGTGTACAGTATACACGCATAGCCCCTTGTCAATCCACTGCTGGATGAGTGCTTCCCCACGCAGTTGCGGGTCGTGGGGGTTATTTCACCATACTTCACCACCCTGGTCGATGCGGGAGGGTGCATGCGGGCAATAAAGACACAGGGGGGGGGCATGGAGGGACAGTACAACAATTGGGTTGTACTGCACCGAACTCTGCTGCTCATCACCGCGGTCTGTGTAAGCGAGTGCTCATCCAAAGTCGATCCAGGCTCGAACCGGCTTAGCTTCGCAGATCTGACGAGATCGGGCGCACTCCAAGTGATATCGTCACAAGGAGTAACTCGTAGAGAGAGAGAGAGAGGACGACTCGTGGAGAGAGAGAGAGGAGGAACCACCGCAGACGAACGGGAAGGCAGCGGCAGCCTCGCGGCGAGCAGGCGCCACATTCCTTTCCCCGTCCCAAGTTCTGCGCTCCCCGATGTATTAAGATGTGTTCGGTCAATTGCTGAGCGTTTTACATGCGGGAGGAAAGCAGTGCACCAGAAGAAAACACTGCGCGAGCGGGAAAGACGATCCCACTTGCTGTACCGCCTTCTCCTGGCGAGTCAGGGTATGGCGCCTCATCGACACCCACGGGGCAAGAGGTTTCACGGCAGTTGCGTGATCCACCATACCGACGTGGCCCTGTTGTGTGCGCCCCCCGGTGCCCTCTGTCCAACCTCCGCCCTCCTCTTCCCACCCGCGAGCGATGACGGTGGCGTCTCAGGAACTGTCAGGAGGGTTGGTCACAGGGGCTGCCTTGGAAAATAACTTGCTCCCAACTCAGCCCCGCGAATTCCTCTTGTGAGCCCTTGGCGGGTGATTGCGAATCTTTAATGCGCATTTTACGCACAGCGTGGCCCCGCCACGCCGCTTAAGCACGTGGCTCAAATGGGGGTCATTAAGGGGGTCGACTTCTTGTCGCCTATTGTCACGAGAGCCGGCCTAGATAGCTGGAGGTCAACGTTGAATTTTCATCAGCCGTGGTCGATCCACTGTTGGATGAAAGGCCTTCCTCATCTCTCACGATCCCGCGATGGAGTGATGAACCGAGCCATCTGCTGCGCACGAGAGCTCATCCCATTGCGCCGTCTCCTCGGCGCGCGACCCTGTGAGACGCCTTCCACTCCTGGACTGCCACTCCGCAATTTATTCTTGACCCTTGGCCGTCATCCCGTATAGCCGCCGTGACGTGTAGCGCCCGAGCAGCCGACTGGCTTTTCTCCACAGCTTGAATTATGCATTGATATGTTGGTTTTCGCTATCTTCGGAGTCAACAGGAAAATTCAGGATGTAGCCGTTTCACCCACAGAGCGAACCCCCCCCCAGGGTGTGCACTGCTAATTCACGCGTGCCTCTTTCTGCCTCAATATAAATGCGCGCGTTCGTGTTCACGGATTGTGCCGCGCATTGTCACGGGATCATGAGGAGGCGAGCTCGATGTTAACCTGACACCGCTGTGTGTGCGCGTGTATAGAAAATGTGAAAATTAAGGCAAGTTAATAAACCAGTTTCGCTGTTGTCACAACTCTGCTGGGTAGTTGAACGCTCAATTCAGGATTAGGTCGGGGGGTGGGGGGGGGTCAGGTCGAGATGGCACGGTCCACGGTCCACACGACGATAACCCACAAAGGCATTTACAGGCCGGTGCTGCGCCATGACTTGGGCGGCAGAGGAACACATTTCCGCTCGGGGTCGCCTCGTCTGTACGGCCGCAGGGCACTGGAATCGTTGAGCTGGGATGCGATGTCACGAGGGGCGGCCCTGAGACGCCGAGTCATTGAAACGAGTGCTCTGTAAAATGCTCATTGGTATCCTGACGTTTACAGCAGCGATTTGCATGAAATGCATTTGCGTGTGCAACGGTGAGTAGGGATTTCCATGTATAAAGAATGGCGTGTGTGTGTGTTGTGTGTGTGTGAAACGAAACACGGGTCGTGAGATGAGAGGCTAGGGCGTGATATGTCCACGTTTTAACACAGCATGCTGCCTGGCGATAGCAAGTAGCCAAGTGATGGCAGTCCAGTGCAGGTTTCCCTCGCTTTGCGCGGGTTCGGTTTGTACAATGTCGCGCTGTATATATGCGGCTAAACTATTTCTACACAAAATTCGCAATGTGCGGTTTTAATTCACTCATATGCGGCTACACGGTGGGACAGCGTTGCATGAACTGTGTGCACGACTCCGCAGGCAGCTGTCCCCTCGTGCAGTTTCGCTTTGTGCGCTACTTGTGTGGAACGCATCTACTACTACTACTACCACCGCATAAACCGAGGGAACTCTATTCTTCATCCTACCAGAGCAGAACTTTGATCATTACCTCCCTCGGGTACTCCGTTTATCTTCCCACATGCCACAAACAGTCTTCCATGCTGGAATTGGCCGGGTGTAGCTTTGTAGCAGGATCCTCTTGAAAAAAAGGGGGATCTTGAGACTCTTTCCTGTATAAGCTTCATAATAACTAATCGTATATATATGAGAAGAATACGGGAGTCGTGGATTCTCTCCTCCCATAGGGCAGCATGGCGGAGCAATATCCACGCAGCTCGTCATCCCACTCGGCCTCTGCTGCCTCCCAGGACGTCTCATGAAGAAGTCGCCGCTCGATCGTCACCGCAGAGCCAGCCGAGTAACAGGCGACTTGCTCGGCGCGGCGTGGTTTCTCATCGCAATAAGTGCCACGTAATTGCTTTACCCATTAAAAAAAACAGAATAGATTAACCCTTTAGGCGTTTCTCTCTCTCTCTTCAAATTATGAACAAAGTTAAATAAAATAACATGTCTGAATTATTATTATTTGGAACTCTGTAGTCTGCGTTAACGCTCAACGTTAGATGTTGTTTCGTCTCCAATGCCTTATCAAGCTTTACTGGAACGTTAAACTGACACCAGTTGAAGCCTCCAGCTAACAGCGCAGCTGCCTCGGTGGGCCCGAGGCAGCTGCGCTATGTTTTTGTGTCTCAAGGATGCTGGAGGGCTCCGCGACCACCCCAGCGACCACCCCAGCGACTCCTCGCGACGCCAGATGGCACTGTGGCCCAAGCTGCTGCGGCACCGCGGGGAGAGATATCGACTTGGCAGTGTCACGCACACAAGCCATCCCGTTGGTGTTTGTCAAGGAGCGTTTATCTTGTCAAACGGAAACTCTGAACGCACTGTGACAAAATTGCATGTTAAACGAAGCAAGTCCTAATTGTTACCCATGTGCATCGCTTGCGCATGTACATTGTGAGGATACGGGTTACGATCAGGGCATAGAGTTTTTACAGTCACTGGGATTCTTTACAATAGGCACGCAAACGATACGTCATCGCCGGTTGCCCTCGCTTTATACGGGGTTGGTTTGTGCGATTTTTCGTACACACACACACATTAAATACTGTGTGTGTGTACTGTGTATACCGTGTGTGTGTGTACTATGTGTGTGTGTACTGTGTATACCATGTGTGTGTACTGTGTGTGTGTACTCTGTGTGTACTTTGTATACCGTGTGTGTGTGTACTGTGTGTGTGTACTCTGTGTGTGTACTGTGTAGAATGAGAATAAAATAATAAATTAATAAAATAAAATAACACTACAATTCCCACGACGTTTCGGCCACAACACAAGTGGCCTTCTTCAGGTGAAAGGAACAGACCTGTCGGGACGACAGAGCTTCAATGAACGTTGTTAAGATGTGTAGCGTCTTTTAAGCTGGTTTAGAGAAGTGAGGCACCTTGACAAAGGGGTTTACATATCAAACAGGAGAATTTAGCATTGAAATAGCTGAGTGATTTGCTTTGACTTTAACATAGCCATTTCTGTGACCAGTCACAAGCTAATCACTCAGCTATTTCAATGCTAAATTCTCCTGTTTGATTTGTGCTAGGTGCCTCTGTGGATGTGTAGGCTTTGACTTTAACATAGCAATTTCTATGACCAGTCACAAGCTAATCACTCAGTTATTTCAATGCTAAATTCTCCTGTTTGATTTGTACTAGGTGCCTCTGTGGATGTGTAGGCTTTGACTGTAACATAGCCATTTCTGTGACCAGTCACAAGCTAATCACTCAGCTATTTCAATGCTAAATTATCCTGTTTGATTTGTACTAGGTGCCTCTGTGGATGT